AAGTGTTTAAGGTGTTTTTTTTTCTAAACACCTTAGACACACCCAGGTAATCCCTAAATCCTGGACTGGTAGGGGGTCCTTGAGTACCCCTGGATTAGTGGTTTTCTTAATGCTACAAAGCTGTTCAGTCCCAATCCCTTGAGTTCCCTTTGCACGGTGCAAATGGAAAAGCTCTTACTTTCACTATTAAAAATAACCATGAGTTCTACTGTTGTTTCTCTATGATTTGATTTCACCAAACATTTAAGTGATCACTGATCACGATCAATCAGGATATTTTTCCGACCAAATTTCTTCCTCGAAGACAATGGTTCCCCACTATCCTTCCCGTTTTTAATAATGCATTGGACAGTACTTAACCAAATTTTAGTAGTTTCTGCAATCTCCTTAGATGTTTTCTCTGCTTGATGCATGTCAATGATTTGACTCTTTTTCGAACAGACTAATATCTTTTCCACGACCACGGGATGTGTCTTTTGACATGGTTGTTTAAGAAATGAGAATCTACTCATTGCATCAGTTGGAGTTAAATAACATGTTGCCAGCTGAAAGATAATCGCCCATGCAGTAACTATCCAATAGGAGGCTCTTACCTATTTGCTGTTACGCTACTTGGGTGATTTGGATTGGAACTCAACTGCAGCTTGTAAAACTCCCTAATTACATTAGTGAAGATACGGAGAAACTTTAAAGTATCAATACTGTAGCTTTAAGAAAAGAGAGAATTGCTGGTAACTTGATTCAAACAAAGTTTTAATAAGTGTTAAACTTAAATGAATTGCATTTAGGCAATAATCCAATAAGAAGAAGTGCAAGTAATCAACAACACAAAGTTCATTAATAAGTATTTCCTCAGAGATGCATTAAGTAACATTCTTTAGGTTAATGAGAATAATCTTCCATAGTAACATTAAGCAAGTAGCTGAGAATATTTGCAAAGCAAGAACAGTTCATAGTTAATAAGCATGATGGGAGTTGTCCTCCATATAATTAGTAGCTTGAAGCACTGAGAGTATTTGGAAAGCAAGAAACAGTTCATAGTTAATAAGCATGATGGGAGTTGTCCTCCATATAATTAGTAGCTTGAAGCAGTGAAGATTTGAGTAAGCGAGCATTAGTTCATTAGTAAATGAGATTGCAGACAAATATCTGAAAGATATACTTAAGGTTAATATGAGTAGTCCTCCAATAGTTCAGAGATATGGTCCACTTGTAAAGTAAGTGAGTTTCCATTCTCCAGTAATCCTCTATGGCATGAAGCATACGACTTCAGAGCTCGTAGAGTCGGTGTGTGCCAGGAGCCGGCGTGCATACCCGGAAGTAGGACCCACATTGCCAGAGCCTGTGGAGAGGTAAGTCTGGTGGAAGTAGCTCCCAGTATCATCAAGCACCCTCTCTCTAGCGTGGTCTCCCTAAATACCGTCTGAGCCGCGTCAGAGGGGGGCGGGGTCCGGCTCCGCATAGCGGAGTGCCGAACCCGGAAGTGTTACCGCATGACATTTGCTTAGTTAAATCCAGCTGACATCTTTTTTTATGGCCAGGCAGTGTATTAATTAATTAACCGCAGGCTTGATTGTATTTTAAAAGAGAGTGCACACTATCAATATAGAGGGGTTACATAAAATGTATGTGGTAGCTATGGATGAATTAGAGACCATCATCTACCCTGACACCAAAACAGTTGGTAACACAACATTTGAACATCATCAAGAGAAATCTAGTTTTACAACTGTAATTAAACAGTTAAAGAGGAAAATATCAACCATGGACCATGAGGAGGAAGAAATTCCCATACCCACATCCATAGCTGCAGAGAATGGTCAATCTGAATCCCTGCCTCAAGATGGCATAACAAAAGATGATCCTAGAAAAACCAGCGGACAAGACTACCAAAGATCACCGGAAAGCCGCCACCATACAGCACTGTCCACAATCCCAACTTGCACCATCACAGAGACCAACAGGCTTATACATGTCACAGCATTAGTGGTCCTCCAGCTGCTTGACTACAAGATCAGGCTCAAAGAGATGCAATGCCTACCATGAAAAGTACAACTGGAAGTCAAGATAAAGACAACACAGAAGCAAATTTGTAAGCTGGATCAGATCTTGACTACAGTGGAAGTACAAGGATATGCCCATACCATAGGCACTAAGCTAAGACTGTCAGCACTGGCAACCAGACTGACCAGATACACCAGAGAAGCAGAGGCTGATAATCAATGCCCTCTTTACCAAAGAACCATCCAAGGTGTATGCACAGCTGCATGGTAACCACCTCATTTCCTCCCAAAACCCACCCAGAGCAGAGACTGTACAGTACTGGAAAAAATATCTGGGAGAAAGAAACATCTCATAACACAGAGGCCTTGTGGCTACTAGACCTGAAAGCAGACCAGGAACCAGTCACCATCACAGTCGAAGATATCCAACAGCGAGTAGCACACATAAAGAGTTGGTCAGCCGCTGGACCTGACCTCTTATAACACCTACTGGACAAAAAAGTTAACAATGCTGAACGTCTAGCAGTACAAATTAACCAGCTACTTGCAACAGGCTCCCACTCTGACTGGCTAATGTTGTGGATCAGAAATGTTGATCTTTGTTATATTCAGAGGAAGCCCAAATTGTTGTTACAAGTGCACTTGGAGAAGCGAGAATTAGACACCAGACACCTGTTGGTATTCAAAATAAGCCTCTGACGTTTTATTCATCAGCTGGGTTTTATACATTAAAAAGTAAGTGCTTACGTGCAAATACTCTTAGAACAGTAATAGGAAGAGAATACAGATAAGACATAGGGATGAGCGTCATGTACCCATAACAAATAAGTTTCAAGGTATGAGAGAACAAAATGATTAGAGCAGAGACATCTTAGGTGGGGGCTCTCTGCTCCCGGAACTTAGACATATATGGTCTTAAGTGTTGTTTAAGCATCAAGCATTTCCTGAGTCCAAGTTAGCCAATTTTAATATAGGATATCATTATATGACACCTATAAGCTTGAGCCTTGGAATCAAGATAAATTCTATCACAATCCCCTCTTTTGATCCAAGGGTCACCCAAATGTCCAAGGTATATCCAGGCCTGCTAGCCAAAGCCTGTGGGACTTTCATTTATTGCTTCACCACGGTTCCCTTGGACTGAGAGACCACCAGAATCAGCAGAGGAGAGTTCCTTCATTTGTTAGGCGAGGTAACATCATAAAACCTTTTCGAAGTTGGATCTGGAATGTAAGTTAAGGTACGACCAATAGTAGGTTTGCTTTTACATAAAGAGGTTAGTAGACATGAAAAAAATCTAAAGGTTAGAAAAATAGCCATAATGACAAATATAGCTAACAGCAAAAAGTACAAAATCTTCTTAATTAGTAAAGTCAACCATGTTCCTAGCCCAAATGTCCAATCCCAATCCCCAAAGAAGCCAGTATCCTGTTTGATCTCCTGTACTAAGTCATGTAAATCTTTTATATGTTTATGGATCATAGTGCCATGGTCAGATAGGTTAAAACAGCACATACCTTCTATAGCTTCACAGCCTAAGTCATGTTTCATTAGTAAGTAGTCAATGGCTGCTCTATTCTCAAGGATTGCCTTCTTATTTGCCTGGCTGTCCATAAGTAGCTCTTCTAGGGCCTGTGAAGTGGCATTTAAACCTTTTGCAAGGGAACAGGCTACAGCATTTACTACTCGGGTATTATACAATGCTAAACCTGGGACTCCTACCAAGGTGTACGCTAGGGCAGAGTATTCGGCTTTAGATAAGAGAGTGATTTCTGGGTTACAATCTGCATTAAGGGTGTTTTTAACATCTCTCCTGTCTCTCAGCAGTTTGTGTAGCTGGGTGGTTTTAGTGATCAGGTCAGATTTGGAAAACATGGTCATGGTTAGGCGAGAGATTGCACAGGGACCTCCTGTAATGTAACCTGGGACATAAGCATAAGTAATATTTCCACAGGAGAAAGTCCATCCTTTAGGAAGATAGACATTGTAGTGGTAACTCATAACTTGGTGAGTTTTGGTACAATTCATAGTGGTGCTTAGGGCTCTACAATTCGTGGTATTTTTCCACCATGTGGGGCAAAACAGGGATTCAGTATTAGGGTCTCTTGAACAATTACATGAAAAAGACCAACATAGTTCAGCGTCTGTCACATTAATTGTCTTCAGGGCTAGAGGAGGCTTGCCTACGAGTGGGTTGAAGGCATAAGAATATAGTTGTAGAGATTTATGGGGTCTTTGGGTATGTAGGTACTTTCTTAACAGTGAGATGGGGGTAGGGACAGCTATAAGACAAGATTCTATGGCGTTTTCAGTACTGAGGAGAGGGTTGAGGCAAAAGGAAGTTAAATTAAAAGCCTTTGCTATCTGCAACCATATATTTTCCTGCCATGCATTATTATTTTCTGGTCTCAAGTCAGAGTAGCATATCTGAACACAGTATAAAATGGTAAAGGATAAGAACAGCTTCATGTTGGTGGGTCAGTCGGAGTGACTTGTTTACAGTGACTGGCGTGTATCCACGTGGCTTTTCCTTCTAGTTTCACTGAGGTAGCCGTAGTCAAGAGCACTTGGAATGGACCGTCAAAGCGTGGTTCAAGTCCTTTCCTCACATGTCTCTTTATCACCACCCAATCACCAGGTTGCAGTTTGTGAGTTGCAGAATCAGAGTCTGGATCTGGAATAGAATCAAAGACTTGTTTATGCACCCTGCCTAATCTTTGGTGTAGGGCCTGAACATAGGCAGTCATACTACCATGCTGCATCTGTAGTGTTTGGGGAAAATAGAGGCCTGTCTTTGGGGCACATCCAAACAGGATCTCAAAAGGGGATAAGCCATGTCTGGAATTGGGGGTGAATCTCATAGAAAAGAGTGCTAGGGGAAGGCATTCAGTCCAGGGCTTTCCTGTGTCTTGCATGGCTTTTGCAATCTTGTTCTTTAAGGTGCCATTTGCCCTTTCTACTTTCCCACTACTCTGGGGGTGATAGGGGGTGTGGAAGGCCTGACTGATCCCTAGGGCTTTCATAATTTCTTGCATTATTTCCCCAGTGAAATGGCTACCTCTGTCACTTTCAATCACTTCAGGTACTCCATATCTACATACCAGTTCCTTCAGAAGCTTACTTGCTGTGACCTTCGTTGTGGCTTTCGACACTGGGTAGGCCTCAGGCCAACCTGAAAAGAGATCAATGCACACCAACACATATTCATACACTCCTACCTTAGGTAGTTGAATATAGTCTATTTGCAGTCTTTGAAACGGGTAAAGTGGCCTTGGTGTGTGCTTACTTGGTGTTTTCACAGCTTGTCCTGGATTGTTTCTAGCACAAATCATGCAAGCTTGGGTGTGTTTAGCTGCTACAACAGTAAATCCGGGTGCTAACCAATGGGTGTTTACTATGCTGTTCATGTGCATCTTGGATAGATGTGTAGGTCCATGGGCAATCTGGGCCATCATGGGGTACAACACTCGTGGTAAACACAGTCTTTTACCTTTCCTCCACATTCTGTCATCATCAGGTTCTGCATCTTGTTTCCTCCAGAGGTCATGTTCTTCCTTGCTTGCCTGTCTTTGTAAGCTCAACAGTATATTGTAGTCAATGGCGTCATCTGTAAGAACAACTTGTAGAAAGGTATTACCTGTAGAGGGATGAACTTTGATTGCTGCTTGCTTGGCAGCTTCGTCTGCTTTGTGGTTTCCTCTTGAGATTTCATCTGTGATCTTCACGTGAGCTGCCACCTTGATGATGCCTACTTGAGTGGGTAGCAGGATAACGTCCATAAGTGCTCTTACGGCTTCAGAATTCTTGATTGGAGTTCCTGCTGAGGTGAGAAAATCACGAGCCCGCCATATAGGGCCAAAATCATGGGCTATACCAAAAGCATAGCGAGAGTCTGTATAAATATTAGCAGTCTTACCAGAGGCCATTTTACACGCTTCAGCGAGTGCCTTCAGCTCTGCCTCCTGTGCAGAGCAGTGAGGAGCGAGTGGTTCAGCTTTTATTACCTCATGTGCAGAGACTACAGCATATCCAGTGTGGAAATTACCCTTCTCATCAGCATATCTGGAACCATCTACAAAAAAACTCAAAATCTGCATTAGATAATGGATGAGGGTCCTGCAGAGTCAGGGATATTGATGATATGTAGGGACACTGGTTTGCCAATTTCCTATTGGGGGGGGGGAGGTGGTGGTGGTGGTGGTTGGCTGTCATGGGAGTTATCATTAGAATCTTGGGGTTTTCTATTTTTAGGAGGACACCTGCAGTTACGTTTAATGTGTCCTTTCCTGCCACAATTCCAGCAGTCTACCTGCCTTCTGTCCCCATCAGCTCTAGGGACAGTTACAGCCATTAGAGGTGTGCTCCTCTTTCTAGTATTTAGATTAGCTTCCACTCCCCTAGCCACCTTCACCAGATCACCATAGGTTAAACTTCTCCACTCAGGTCTAGCATTTTGGAGACCAGTCCTTATGGGTATGTGGATACCATCCATGAAGCAGTTAATAAGCAGTCTGGTCGAAGTGGTTACAACATCAGTGTAACCCAATGCCTCCCAAGCCATTTGTAGTCTGGTGAAGAATGTTTCTACACATTCATCTTTCCCTTGTAGTATGTCTCCTAATTTATGGGCTAGTTCCTCTGTCTTTACCTTAGCCCATTCTCTCATTGCAGTGACATAGCATGCTCCAGATGCAGACTTGGTTCTAAACCATTCATCTGTTTGCATGTTGCTTTTTCTGAGGTTATCTTCATGGGCATCTGTATATTTAGCAATTATTCTAGCCAAAATGGGACCAGCTTTTAGTGCCACAATCTGTTTTAAATCCATCCAAGTACACTGGTAAGTAGCTTGAATTGTGGATAGAGACTGGACTAGAGCTAAGGGGGCCTTTCCAACATCTTGCAGCTGCTGTATTATTGCCAGTTGTTCACTGGGTGTCCAGGGCTTATATTCTTCCCAGTATTGAATACCTGAGCTCGGCTGTCTGTGCTCATGGTATACACTCTCAACTTTGGGTATCATGGGAGTAGAAAATTGTGGAGCTAATGGCCCCACTGGGGTATCTGTGGGGGCAACTAGGGGTTCCTTTAAGTCTGGACTACCTTCCTGCTCTAATGAACCCATAGGTCTTACTGGGACACTATATGAAGTCCCACTGCGTAATATTACTGGAAAGAGAGGTTTTGATCTCTGTAAAAGGGAAATCGCCTTGTCTTTTGGGACCAAAGGAGTCCCTGAGGTATCCTGGTAAAAGGGTGGGTTTGCAAGATTTTTCCCAGGATCTTGCCTACTCTGGGACCCTAGAGGTCCAAAACATTGATAATATGGTACACCTTTCCTGGTGGTTTCTCTACAACCACATTTAGTTAATTCAACAGCAGTATCATGCCATTTTTGTGCGACTTCTACTAAGTCATTATCTTCTAACCAACCTCTGTAATTTGCCATAAATTCACTCCATATATGTGGGTCTAGAGTGCCTTCTGAGGGCATGCCAGCTTTCTTAAGTAACCTCTTAACATTCTTAATTGCTCCTTGTCCTTTGTGATGCTTGACAATAGTCAAAGCCGTAAATCCCCCTTGGGTACTTTCAGAGCTACCCATCTTAAAACTTGTAAGGGTTAATTACTTCCTTACACAAGACAAACTGTACAAAAACAGTGTATTTAAACACTTAGGACCGCTGCAGTGGAATTTTCACAGTTTTGTCTTCTAAACACAGATCAGGAGATCTGCCCTTGGAGGATTCTAACTCAAATTATAAAACAAATGACAAGGCAAACAATAAAAATAACTTACAACCCACAGTTATATTCCACTATCTCAAGATTCCTTTCACAAGACATAACACAACCTCCAACTGAATATAACCATAATACCACAGAAAACAAGTTCTTTAGATCAGACGTTTTTAAGTCGTTCTTTACCCAGACAGACTAGTAGGACGTGGATCTGAGAGCGAAATTGATAAAGGTAGAAAAAAGTTTTTCTTACCTTCCTGTACAGCTGATTTCACTGTCAGAGGGACGTCCACCTGTACGCTAGTGTCCGAGTCTCTCGACCGTCAGATCCCGGGGTCACGGCACCAAATTGTTGTGGATCAGAAATGTTGATCTTTGTTATATTCAGAGGAAGCCCAAATTGTTGTTACAAGTGCACTTGGAGAAGCGAGAATTAGACACCAGACACCTGTTGGTATTCAAAATAAGCCTCTGACGTTTTATTCATCAGCTGGGTTTTATACATTAAAAAGTAAGTGCTTACGTGCAAATACTCTTAGAACAGTAATAGGAAGAGAATACAGATAAGACATAGGGATGAGCGTCATGTACCCATAACAAATAAGTTTCAAGGTATGAGAGAACAAAATGATTAGAGCAGAGACATCTTAGGTGGGGGCTCTCTGCTCCCGGAACTTAGACATATATGGTCTTAAGTGTTGTTTAAGCATCAAGCATTTCCTGAGTCCAAGTTAGCCAATTTTAATATAGGATATCATTATATGACACCTATAAGCTTGAGCCTTGGAATCAAGATAAATTCTATCACACTAACACAAGGCAGAACAATACTGGTCATGAAGGGCCCTCAAAAGGGAACACCACCATCCAACTACTGACCAATAACCTGCCTCTCCACAACATGGAAGTTCTGGTCAGGCATGACAGCCTCAAAGATCGATGGGCAAATGAGTCTGTACATGCACAAAGTTTAGAAGGGGATTGGAAACAACACCAGGAAATCTAAACACCCACTACTGGTTGTCAGGGTGGCAGTCCGGTGATCGGGACCCAGATACTGTCTGGGCGGCGGTCGGACGATCGGGACCCAGCATGCCTGATGTTGAAAGTAGGAGTCTCAGTGTGGAAGTGTATTAGCAGAGTCTGGTGCAGGGTAACCGCACGCCCCCTGGTGTTGAGCACCAGCATTTGTGCGGCCACATACCAGGACCATGAAGCAGCTACAGCGGATCCCAGGAGCTTTGAGCTTGGAAATAACCAGCCCTTTCCAGGAGCTGAATAGGGAGACTCTGCAGCAGGAATGTATCCAGTACAGAAACAAGGCAAGACTAAAACAGACACCAAACATAAAAAGAAAAAAGACAGAACTAGTAGAACCCAGAACCAGAGAAGTATAGACAGCTAAATCCAGAACATGTACACAATAAGGGAAACCTTAACATAAAATGGGCAAGACAGGACAGGACTGTACATGGACTGGGAATACAAAATAAAACAAGACAAGATATTAGGCAAACAAGAGGAGACATAACTAAGTACTATATGTGAAAAAACTATGGGGATTTAGTTACATTATATGATCATACATTGCATAAGCCTGCCTCAACACCAATGTACCCCATATTGGGCAGGTCCTACTCTAACTGCCTAATGTCTGCTAAATAAACCATAATAAAGCACACACAGCACTTACCTGCAAGAAAAGGCAGAGAAATTGAGCAACTGCTTGCAGGGACCAGCTGAAACAAAAAGGAATCATGGAAAAGGAACGGGTGTGGCAACATAAAACAAACATTTAAAGGAATCCAGGAGACTGGGAATTCCAGGAACGGAATACAGGAATGAACCCAGAAAACCCATCATAAAGAAAACCAGATATAGAATAGAAAACCAGAAAAACCAAGGGGAAAAAAAACAAGAATTGTAAAAAGAGTACTGGATACCAGAAGCCATAGCCAGAATGATCCACAGTTAGGAACAGGATGTGACACTGGTAAACCAAGCAGTCACAGGGGATTCTATCTGTGCATGGCCTTGGTTGACTACAAGAAAGCCAATGACACACATATATGCTGGAATGCTTGGCTCTATACAAGGTCAATAAGATAAGAGCTATAATCAAGAACTCAGTGGGCAAGTGTAAAACAACTCTAGAAGCCAATTCTAGGATAATAACACAAGTGAACATTAAATGCACGCATATATGAAGATGATGCATTATCTCCAATGCTGTTCTGCATAGTCCTTAACCCCCCTAGCCAGATCATCAAGAAGACTGGATACGGTTACGGGTTCAAGAGTGGAGCCACCATCAGCCACTTACTCTACATGGATGACATTAAGTTGTATGCCAAGAATGAGCATGAAATTGACTGCCTGATCCACCTAAAAGATAAAAGATATACAACATTGGAATGCCGTTTGGAGTATATAAGTGTGGGCTGATGATGGCAAAAAGGGAAGATGATCAGGAGAAAAGAAGTTCAATTACCAGAAGGCTAAATAGAAGATGTAGAGAACAGCTACAAATACATGGGGGTACCACAAACACATGGCAATCATGAAGAAGAGGCAAGGAGGATAGCAACATCCAAGTACCTCCCAAGAGTCAGACAGGTCGTAAAGTCCCAGCTCAATGGCAAGAACAAGATCCAAGCAGTCAACACACATGCCATACCTGTCATCAGGTACGCAAGTGGAATAATAACCTGGCCAAGAAAAGAACTGGTCACCATGGATGCCTAGATCTGGATAAATGGAGGATTCCATCCGAAATCCTGCACCCAGAGACTGTACACCTGCCGCAAGGAAAGAGGTTGAGGCCTGGTGAGTGTCATGGCTCTGTGTTTAAGTCCTGGATAAAAACATAGAGCATCCACAAGTTCATCACGAAGATGGCACCCAAAGGTGAACTGCTAAGGGAGTGCATGAGACAACAACAGATAAAGAGGAGATTCCATGGCAAGACAAACCTCTCCATGGGGTGTCCCACCAGCAGGTAGTGGATGTGGTTTACATGACAAAATCCTGCCAGTGATAGGAAAAGGCAGGACTATAAGACAGCACTGAGGCTCTAATCCTAGCAGCGCAAGAACAAGCACTCAGCATCAGATCAATAGAAGCGGGAGTCGACCACACCGGGCCTTTGAGACAATCCAGCACATAGTAGCCAGATGCAAGATGGTAGCAGGACCAAGTTGCTGGGATTGTGTACTGAAACATCTGCACAGAATATGGTTTGGACCTGCCTAAGTCCAGATGGGAGATACCACAAAAGGAAGTTGAGGATGACACGGTTAAGATCCTGTGGGACTTCCAGAATCAGACATAGAAGCAAGTACTGACCAACCAACCTGACATTGTGGTGGTAGACAATAAACGGAAGGCTACCGTTGTGGTGGATGTGGCAATGCCCAGTGACCCTAACATCAGCAAAAAGGAACATGAGAAGATGGACAAATACTAAGGACTGAAAGAAGAACTAGAAAGGATGTGGAAAGTGTAGGCAGTAGTAGTCCCAGTTCTAATAGAAGCACTTGGGGATGTGACTCCCAAGTTGGGGGAGTGGCT